TTGTGATCCCTGTCATAAGGTGATTGCTTTCTATCTTTCATTTATGAGTTACGATCATTTTAATTGCTCATTTATACAAACTAACCCTCACACATTTATCTGCTACTACGGTTCCTAATAGCTCACTTATCTTGAATATAACAATGTGGCATTTACAGAAATTAAATTTGTCCGTCATGAAATAAGCTGTAGATTAACCCTTTATACCACTGATTTCCAATAATGTGGACTGTAATTTTTCCTTGGACAAATGGTAACAAATGCATAGTGACTGATTGCTGTTCTGTAAAGTAACCACGGTTTACACATATTAAGTCCTTACTTAACTTAAGCAAATGTATTCAATGTTTGAAGGTATAGATTACACAGGGGAAATATATATCCATTTAATGAAGAAATGCGGCACAGTTGATGGTGAGGAACCTCAGTGAGAGTGTTTGTGGGAACAGACTGCAATGAAGCAACTTCATTAAAGTGGAATGAGTGTTGACACCACCATTGCTGGCAGAAATACTTTAGGGACATTCTCAAAACATCTCTGAAATGGGTTGTCCCCAAACATGTCCTCCAACTCATGGGGAATATTAACTCATGACCTACCAAAACAGAGGCTTAATCTAGAAAGAAATTTCAGGAATGTTCAACAGCGAAGTTGAGGCATTGGAGGAAGCTCACAAATTTGCACAATATAGTGCATTGTGAGCACTATATGACCCACGTATGACCGAATCTACAGATTGCAAGCTGGATTTATTGCTATCTCAAAACCCATTGAATTAGAGTGGAAGCAAATTATTCTTGATCCTAAGACACTGCATAAAAAGAGGTTGACCACTGAGTTGGAGGTGGGACAGGATTTGGGAATCTTTTGAATTCATGACATAAACTGGCAGAAGAGATTTTCCCAATTGCAGAAGGATTAAGTCTCTTCATCTATTCGTATAGTGATGATGCTTGATCTGGAAGCAGTACAATAAAGAAGATATGCATGAAATATTCAATTGTTTTCAAATGTTTGTTTTAAAAGGATATTTAAATAATTGTATCAATATTGTAAAAAGATCATTTGCAATTTTCTGGGATAATCAATGCGGTTCATCTGGCTTGTTAACTCTTGACCTGGATTCAGTGCCCATGGGAAAGAGGCTAATACCAGAAGCTGTGTGGCCAGACACAAGACAAGAAAACAGAAAGGATCCTGCTGTAAAGAAGACAGAAAGGATGCTGCTTGTGAATGGGCTACAAGGGTGTAAAACCTAGAATCTCTGACACCAAAGCTTTGGATCTTTTACCACAAGCAGCCAAATTGTGAGCTAGTGTGTTTTTGGCTGGCCAGTTGGAAAGTAATTCTGACAAGCTACACCATTAGGACTATTGTTAGCCAAGGGATGGAGGGTTCAAAGAAGTGTGGCTTGATCTGGTTAATCATATTGATGACGCTCATAGGTGAAAATTGATGTTGACTAGGCCCCCTGACCCACACTGCATTAATTAAGAACAGCGTATTGTGGAACTATGTAGCTACATTACACCATGTATGCTGAAGTGGAACATTTATGGGTGCATAAGGCATATTTCTGTCATATCAGCTACTCCTGTTTTATTTGAAATATCATTTTCCTGTTAATTAGTATTTAATTTACAGCGGTTCTGATTCGTCATAAAATAAATGCTACAAATAAGTGACATCTTGTTGGTCGATTCTTCATTTAGGGGATATTCAGTAAGTATGGTTTATGATTTTTCTATGATAATTATAACAACATCTCAGACTGGTTTCAGCTTTATTTTTTGTTTTCCTAACATATTTCATGACTGTTCTGTAATTTCATAAATGAAACTGCAATATCTCCCAGTGATAACATACAATATAATGAATGGAGAACATTTATTATAATAAGAGTAAAACTAATTCCAATCATACACAGCAGTGTAGTTTCCAGGTGTAAACCCTGTTGTGTCTGCTATCTCCCAGTACCAGTTGAAACCTCAGTGGAGTCTCAGCCATATCTACACTGGATAATCTGGATCCTTAATGAATCAAGTTGTAAAAGTCACAGATTCTCCATCATGCTTCATCAATCAATGAAATCATGGCTGATCTTCTTCATCAATTCCATTTTACCACCCTATCTTCAGATTCTATTTCAGTGCCCAAAAATTGGTCAATTTCACTGTGAATATCCTCAACAACTGAGCATCCACTGCATTTTAGAAGACCCATAGCCTGAGAGTATGCTGTTCATTCTGGACTCTCATGCCCTTTCAAGCACTTTAAGCCTTTTATACATTTTCAATGAAACCACACCTTATTCTTCTAAACATTTTGAATATAGGAGTTGGGGTGTCATGTTGAAGTTGTATAGGACGTTGGTGAGGCCTCTTCGGGAATATTGTGTGCAGTTCTGGTCACCCTGTTATAGGAAAGATATTATTAAACTGTAGAGGATTGAGAAAAGGTTTACCAGGATGTTGCCGGGAATGGAGGATTTAAGATATAAATATAGACTGGAACAGCTGACACCTATTTCACTGGAGTGCAGGAGGCTGAGGGGTGACCTTATTGAGGTTTATAAAATCATGAGGGGCATAAATATGGTTAATGATCAAGATCTTTTCCCTAGGGTGAGGGGTTTCAAAACTAGGGGGTATATTTTTAAGGTGAAAGGAGAAAGATTTAAAAAGGGCATGGGACAATTTTTTACACAGAGAGTCATTAATGTGTGGAATGAACCGTCAGAAAAAGTGGTGAATGCAAGTACAGGTACAACGTTTAAAAGACATTTGGATAAGTTCATGAATAGGAAATGTTTGGAGGAATATCGGCCAAGTGCAGGCAGGTGGGACTAGTTTAGTTTGGGAATTTGGTCGGCGTGGACTTGTTGGACTGAGGGGTCCATTTCCATTCTGTATGACTCTATGACTATGACTATGACCATAAAACATAGATTTGTTCTATCTAATTGCTTCTCATAGGCCAAACTACTCAGACAGGAATCAGTCTAGAGTCAAGTCTTTGCAAGTTCCTGAATATTTGCCACTCGTGCAAGATGATTATTTAAGAGTTGAACATTATTAGAATGAGGATTTTTGCTACATTATAAGTTTTTTTTGACGTACCTGTCTATTGCTCCTTGTTGGCACACTGTAGAAGAGGATGGCTCTCTTTGCTTGTTTCCATTTGGAAGGAATAGATGTACAGTCACCCTGACAAGAATCACATTAGCCAGGTAGTTGCTCACCATGTTAACAATAGACATCTGTTGGGAGGCAATAGACAATGTGTTCCATGGTCACCCATCCAACAGCTCCACTGAGGCATCAAAACCACTTTAAACCTCTTAATCTTATGTAAATCAATGTTTGCTTGGTTGACAGATCTGGTTCTGTGATTTCTGTTAAGTACGCAAAGTTTTCACTGGGGCTCAGATGTTTCAACAGTCTAATGGATGCTTGGAATCTCAGCCAAGCCTCACCATGTATTTTTGGTTTTAAGTCCATGTCATTTGATATTTTAAGTGGCCCCTGATTTTATTGTCCTTTACTGTATGCATATTTTAGCACAATGGAAATTTATGAATAAATTAATGTTTTTTTAAAACTTTTGTTTTACATATCCTATTATCACTGTAAGGTTAATTGGTTCTATGAAGCTATCATGGGAAGTACCATTGCTTGGCTTAGGATGCATAAGGGGCCATGGAATATGGGTGGAGGGGCATGGATAGGTATGGAGATATGGGTCTAGGGCATAACTTGGCATTGGGCCATAGGAGTTACCTGGATGGGCTTAAATAGCCATGGGGGCATAATGGACCAGGGTGGGTGAAGGGGCATAAGGTGGCCTGGATGGAGCATAAGAGTGTTTTGGGGGTGAGAGAGGCTGGGGGACTACTTTATCTTTAGAGCTGGGATAAAGTTCCATGACATTGAGGTATGTATCTTAAAGAACACCCAGTAGACCTTGTGGCTGCCTCCAAGCTCTCTCCCAGAATCAGCTGACCTGACTGCAAAACACACTTTTCCAAATCCCAGGAATGAGGATCCCATCTTTACAGGCACTCTCTCCAGAGGCAGATATAGGTTGCTGGGAATTTTCTCAAATCTTGCCACCTACCTTGAAAATGATGTTCCAGGCCATTGAGTACAACAGCACTTAAGTTATGTTGAACTGACACAATGTTGTGGTTGGGCCCCTCAAGCAACATCATGAAATGAAAAATAAAAACAGAAAATGGTGGAGAAACTCAGCTGGTCTGACATTATCTGTGGTGAGAAATTGGTAATGTTTCAAGTCCAACATAACTCATCAGAACTGAAGAGGAGTTATACCAGACTGGAAACGTTAACTCTGTTTCTCTCTCCACAGGTACTCCAGCATTTCTCCAGCACTTCCTGTTTTCATTTCAGATTTGCAGCATGTGCTGTATTTTGCACAAAATTGTTTGGTCATGGTCACATTGCAGTTTGTGGGAGCTTGTCTGTAAATCCACCTGTTGAGTTTCCTGCATCATAACAGTGACTACAAAAAAGTAACTGCAAAATGCGGTGGGAGTCACTTGAGGTTCTAAAAGTGATATATAAATGCAAATCTTTTTGTTGGTTCATGCTTCACGTGACCAAAGCCTCTAACTGTTTGGAGAGTGGATGCATCAAAAAAACCAGGACTCCGACCACAATCATCTGCCTATCCACATAGCTGGTATCTTTCACGCATCTTTATCACTTAAGTCTCTAACAGTCTAACATGCAAACCACATCTAGATAGTGAGCTCCATCGGTGAGGAGGGGTGAGGTTAAGGGATAGATTGTGCATCCGTGTCCTTTGCATTCGCACAGTGGCAAATGTTTCTGAATCTATTGGACTGCTTCTGAAACAGTGTCGGGACCCCTTCTGCATCTGTGTTGTCACATAAGGCGGAGCCCTCCAGCACCCTGTCCTCTTCCTCCTCAATTGGCAGATGAACACAGACAGAATGGGTGAGGCAGACAGGGAATAGACTATGCTTGCAGTACAGAGGTGGCTCTCCTATTTCTTCCTAGCCTAAGCAGGACCCCTGCACCAAGAGTGCTGGGAAGTATGCGAGTGAGTAAGAAGAAGTGGCGGAGCCCGGGCGAGACGGAGAAAGGGCGCAGTGTGCGAGAGGAGGGCGCCGAGAGGAGATCCAGCCGGGGGAAATTCGCCGAGTCCTGGAAGAGGTTGAGTTCAAAGCAGAGCTCGGTGAAGCGGTCTGGCCTCCAGTCACAACAACAGCAGCAGGTGAGCAGGGCGCTCCAGGAATCAAACTGTGTGTGTGCGTGTGTGTGTGTAAATTTGCAAAAGTGAGCCCGCACATATAGTCTTTGTTTAACCAGTCATTGCCTAAGGGCAAAGAGAAACATCAGTGTGACAGTGGGATGGATGGAGGCAGCTGGATTTTAACAGGCAAAACGATTCGTGGGAAATTCCTGTGCAGGTTCAAAACACTCACCTCCGTGGCTAGTGTAATTTTGATCACATACTTCTGTATTGCCTTGCGTTTTCCGATAGAAGTGCTGCAAAAGTGACCAGAACAGACGAATCTGTGCAGTGAACGTCCCTATTGTTTGTTGGCTGTTGCCTAGGGATAATGGATCGCCTCAAAATCCTGTTGCATGCTCTCCGGAAAACAGTATTCTAGACATTTCCTCGAAAACTGGAGCAAGCCAAGAATCACAACGACTGACCCTATTTTGTTTTAAATCCGAAGTTACGGAAAATGCAAGCTAATATCGAATAAAACTGATGAAAAAGTGAAATTTGTAGAACAGACGGATTCTCTCATTCCCCCAACTGAACGATGTAAAGTAGATGTCTCTGAAATGTATTTTGTAAAATCGTATTTAATTATTTTAAAACAAAAATGACTTGCATTTATTTGCAGGACACGAATGGGGTTAGTGACTGATGGGGGTACACTGTATAAACTTTCTATAATGGTCCACCATGTGTCATGGCTCAAACCAGAGAGGCAAGGGAGAGGAGTAGTGTGTTCTTCAGGATTCCAGTGGCAGGAGGTGGTGGTGAGGACAGTTCCCGTTCACACTTCACAGCCCTCTGCTCCATGTGGATGGCATTTGTTTCTCTGTGACGATGGGAGACTTGTTGAACTCACACCGCGAAAGTTTGGGGGTTGGGGAAGGGCTGGTGGGGGTCGGGGGTCGGTCCGTATTTCTCCCGTCGCTGACTCGTCTCGCTGACAATCTAATCAAACAATCCGGTATTTTAGTTGCTCCCAGGCTGACCAGTGTTTTTGTAATGATCCCGATTTCACATTGACCCACGCGAATGAAATACAATTCAGTAGATTGTGGCTACCGCTGTGAAGTTGGAAGACCACTTGTTGCATTAAGGTTTTATTCTGAATCGTGGTTGTGATTTTTTTTGGGTGGGGAGGAAAATCTGAACTGAAAAGAAATTGTGTTGAATCCTCTGTCCTCTCAGGTGGTTGTAGAGCAGCGACTTATCTCTGGCCAACAGTTCTCCCTTGAACCACACTTTTTTGAAAGCGGATTCATATGTTCTTGGGTGCACCTTGCCAGAGCTTGTTGCAAGCAACTTAATTATCTCACTGCTTTGCAGCATGGACTCCAATTCAGTGATTGTGATGGGGGCCAGGTTGTGAACATGTATCTTTTAAATGTCATGCTGGAAAGTGAGCAAACGTTGACCAGTGACTTGAGAACAAGTTGAGCTGCAAGAGTGTTTTTTAAGTGGGCAAGGCCCTTTGGTTTATCATGACCATGTCAGCCATCAAACAGCAATCCATCCTGAACCCATTTTCCAGCTCTTGGTCCATAGCTATAGCATTTCAAGTGTTTATCTAAATACTTCTCAAGTGTCTTGAAGGTTCCTGCCCCTGCCACCTTTTCAGGCACTGCGTTCCAGGTACCCCCAACCTTCTTGGTGAAAAAGAATCCTCAAAACTTCTTTAAACCTCCTACTCTTCACCTTTAAACTGCCTGAATAACCCACTGCTTATGGACCTTTTTACTAAGGGGAAATGTTCGTCCTTGCCTATCGCCTTCAGAAGTTTGTGTACCTCAATCAGACACCGCCCCCACCCCCACCCACAACCATCTCTGCTCTAAGAAAAATAACACCTATGTCTCATCATAGCTGAATCGCTTCAGCCCAGGCAACAATCTGGTGAATCTTATCTGCACTCTTCTCTAGTGCTAACACATCTTTCCTATTGTGTGGCAACTCCAGTATTCTAGTTGTGACCTAAATAACAATATGTACAGTTCCATCATAATCTCCCTGCTCTTGTATTCAATGCCTTGACTAATATGGGCAAATATCCCAGATGCCTTCTTTACCAACTTTTATCTGCCTGTCCTGCCTTCAATGATCCATGGACATGCACACCAAGGTTCTTCTGATCATCTGTACCTTTTAGGTCCTACCATTCAAAATGCACTCCCTTACCTTGTTAGTCCTCCCAAAATGCATCACCTCACACTTTTCACTATTCAATTCCATTTACCCTTGTTCATTTGATCAGCCCCTCTATATCATCGTGTAATCTGAGGCTTCCCTCCTCACTATTTATTACATCACTAACTTTTGTGACATCTGCGAACTTACTGATCTGACCTCCTACATTCATGTCTATATCATTATTGTACACGCGTCATTTGAAAATAAGTACTGCTAATACCAACCTGTAAGGAATTCCATTATACACCATCGTCATATAATCATTTGAATTAGGGGCAGCAGTAGGTCATTTGGCCCCTGGGGACTCGACTCCACAATCCCATATATTCCCGATAACCATTGACTCCTTTATTGATCAAGGAAGAACCTATCTACCTGTGCCTTAAAAATGTTACAATGATCCTTGTCTCCATTATTGATTGGAGAAGTGAGTTTCAAAGACTCACTCCTTTTGAGCCAAAAACAAAATCCTTCTCATCTCCACCTTAAATTGGAGACTCTGCAAGTCTAGGAGTTGGAGAAAACCTTCTATTGCAGAAAAAAGATCAGTTTAATTCATTTTTCTTTTAAAATGAGTAGCAAGAAGGCATTTAAATTTGGGTTTTGGAATCATTCCAATTCGGGTCAGATATTTTCGTGCCTATATCCACGCTGGTATATTTTCTAACGGGGTGTCTAAGGAATAACCCCAACCCCATGGACAATGTGAAAGTAATACATTTAAAAAAGATTTTTAGCTCATTCTATGTACTTCTTAACGAAGATTTTCAATTAAAAGTAGAGAAAACAAAAAGCATTATTTAGGTTTGCCTAAGAACAAATCAATCAGCCACAACTTTCCCAAAAATTATAGCAACAGCCACAATCTCTGTTCCAATCCCTTTGTTTCCAAACTTACAAAGTCACATAGAAACATTCAGGCCCTCAAGTCTGTCTTGCTATTCGATGAAATCTTAGCTGAATTGACACCTAACTTCCAAACTCACCTTTGTTCAATTATCCCTATCCCTTTACACTTTTTGGATCACACAATCCTGTTGATTTTATTATCAATTAGTGAACAATCCAGCATCAATTGCCATTTTTGCAAGAGAGTTCCAAACTTCTCTCATCCTTTGTGTGTAGTAGTGTTTCCTAATTTTACTCCTTGAAGGTGTTCCTCTGACTTTTACACTTTTTCTCACAGTCCAAGACTTTTCAACCAATGGAAATAGGTTCAATTGTCTGCCCATTTTTCCTTTAGTATCTTGGAAATGTTGATCAAGTTACCCTTAACCTTCAAAATTTTAGGGGGTGCAGCCCTGATTTATCTATTCTCCCCTCATAATGTCGTGCTTGGAGTCAATCAGCCGAGTAAATTTATGCTGCTGTCTTTCCAAGGCCATGATGTATTTCGTAAAGTGTGGTGCCTGATCTACTGTGTCCAACTGTGGTCGAACCAGTCAACGTTTATAGAAACAAACATACTTTACCCTATCCAAGTATGTCTTCTATTCTTCATCTCCTCTTAGATGACTCACACTTATTTCAACCTGGCTCTCTTTAATTCTTTCCATTGCAGTCTGTCCAGGTTAAGGTGTGAACCCTTCTCTTCAGTTTCAGATCGCATTCCTCTATTCTCTGATTCATGCTGCTCTCTGCTTCAGTTTCAGAGACATCTTATCCTTATTCCAAGGAACACCACTTCTGGTTCTCTCTCTGCAGAGCTTGGTTTGGCTTCATTTCCTTTCCTGCTTCCTCTCCACCAAGTTCTGCTCAAGGGGTCTCCTGTGAAGACGCTGCTTTGGTGGTATCTGCCTCCCTCCTTCACAAAGATGATGCTGTCGGCTTTTTCCATACTCAGTCATTCTGACTTCCACCTTCAGCACAAATCCCTCCTCCTCTACACCCAACCCCTTGCCAAAGCCCCAGTCTCTGCTTCACTTTTAGTTCCAAAAATTATCTTTGTCAGATTCTGTCCTTTTCCCACACAAGTCTCTGAGCCTCTTATCTGGCAGTGTTTAATAGTGATACTTAAAGGGGGAATATATGTCATGTGCCTGCCTTTATTAAGAGTTCTGATTTATCTGCAATACTTTGTGTTGGCTACCAGATTCTGTTGTATGCTATTTCTCACAGGGAAGACTGAGAAGATTTGATGGGTGAGGATGAGAAAGTGAAGGCAGAATGATTGGGAGACTTACATTTGTACCACATCTTCCATGACCTCAGGCCATCAGAAACCCCTTTTACACCCATGAACTGCTGGTTGAAGAGTAGTCACAGTTATAATGTAGGAAACACAACAGCCAGTTTGCAAATAGCAGCATTCAGTAAACAGCAAAGCGATAATGACAAAATTATCGATTTTGTGATTTCAGTTGAAGGATAAATATTGGCCCAGAACACTAGGGAGGTCTTTTCTCTGCTTTTGTTCAAAATAGTGCCATTAGCACTTTCATGTTCATCTGGCAAATAACACCCCTGACAGTGCAGCAGCATTCCTTCCATACAAGACTCAAGCGTCAATGCAGCTTTTGTGCTCAAGTATCCAGACTTAAACCCACAGTCAGCTAACTTGGAGACCAGCAGGATACCATTGAGCTCACTGCTGACATGGGAGGAGTGTTAGGAAATGGCACAGGTAGATCAGACTTAAGCTTCCTTAAAAGTGCCCTTTCCTACTCTGTTCCTCACATCTGTCGGATGATACTTCTGATGTGCTTTGGCTCAGATGCTATGCTTTACCCCATGTCATGGATCCGATTGTGCATTTTGTCTCATGTCCTGACGCACCAGTGTTCACTTCATTTCACACA